AGGGTACAGCGACGGATTGCCCAGTACTGATCCACGGGAAAATACAGGGAGCAGCAGTGAAGATTTTTATCGACGGAGGAGCAAGCCACAGTTTAGTTAATACTGCAACCGCACGAAAACTACAACTGACACTTAGCCGTTGCTTACCGGAGATAGACGCACGCTTAGTCGACGGCACGCCACTAGCCATACAGGAAAAGGTAGAGCGAGCCAAAGTCCGCTGCGGGGGAAATTTCGGGTTTACACTGGAAATGCTCGCAACGACACTGGATGGGCACGATATTTTACTGGGACGTGATTGGCTGCGACAGTATAACCCACGAATCGACTGGACGACGGGTAGCTGCACCGTGCGAAGTAGTGGTAATTGGGTCGAGCTACCTCGCTGGCAGTCGCCCGAGTCTTCAACGGTCCACGTCAACGCCATCATGATGAAACGGGTTGTCGCCGATGGAGCTGACGTGTACGCAGTAGATATAGCATTAGTGGGAGAAGTGGAGCAGCCGAGCGATTTTCAGAAACTGTTGGCTGCAGTACCGCCCGAACTACAGGAACTGTTGAAACGGTACCCGGGGATCTTTGCAGACGACTTACCGGAAGGGCTGCCACCTCAGCGGGCGCATGATCATAGGATCGAGTTAGAACCGGGGGCACAGCCAATTGTACAGCGCCAGTTCAGACTGACACAGCCCGAGCTCGACGAACTAAGGAAGCAGTTAGATTATTTGTTAGAGAACCAGTTCATTCGACCAAGTTCGTCACCGTTCGCTGCACCGATACTGTTCACGCCGAAAAAAGACGGAGGGTTTCGCATGTGCATCGATTACCGAGCGCTCAACAGGGTAACAGTCAAGTCGCGGTACCCCATTCCCCGCGCCGACGAACTGATCGACCAACTGCGAACAGCACGGGTATTTTCGAAAATAGACTTACGGGGGGGTTACCATCAGATTCGGGTCGAACCATCGGACTGCGCCAATACAGCATTTAGGACTAGGTACGGGTCGTTTGAGTACACGGTGATGCCTTTCGGGCTCACCAATGCGCCCGCAACTTTTCAGATGACCATGAACGAGGCGTTTAGGCCACTCTTAGATAAATGCGTGATAGTTTACCTCGACGACATCCTCGTCTACAGTCGCGACAAACAACAGCACTTAGCGGATCTCGAAGCAGTATTTAAAGTTTTGGAGGAACATCGATTACTCACCAAGGGCTCTAAGTGCGAGGTTTTTTCGGGACAGGCTAGAATTTTTGGGACACGTTATTTCAGAGGCTGGAGTTGAAATCGACACGAAGAAGCTGGATACGGTAAAAGCGTGGCGTCCCCCGACGAACATCACGGAACTGCAGAGTTTTTTAGGGTTCGTTAATTATATTCGTCGGTTCGTCCCCGACATGGCATGATTGACCGCCCCGCTGACGGATTTACTGCGCAAGGGGGTCGTGTTAAAATTAGAAGAGAGAAGAGGGATGCACTAGCAAGAATGAGGATACAAATAGCAAACCCTAGAAGGGTTGTACTCGCTATAGAGCACCCCACTACAGGCTAGAGCATAAGATAACATTCTGACAGGTCGTTTTTACGTGGGGGGAGAAAGAGCATGCTGCCTTCTCTGTCCTGAAAAATGTTCTCTGTTCCCCGCCCGTCCTGCGCATCGCCGACCCACAACGCCCCTTCGAGGTTGTTACAGACGCAAGCGACATCGCCATTGGAGCCGTACTGCTACAGGACTTCGGCAACGGCCTACAGCCCATCGCATACGAGTCACGAAAACTGCATCCGCCCGAGCGAAATTACCCGATACACGACCGCGAAATGCTCGCGATCGTGCATGCGTTCAAAGTGTGGCGCTGCTACTTGACCGGCGCAGACGTGACAGTACGGACAGACCACCGATCACTACAGTACCTCCGCGCACAGCCCCACCTCAACCCACGACAGATTCGGTGGCTCGATTTCCTCGAGTCAAACTTCCACTACACAATCACCTATAAAAAAGGAGCCTCGAACATCGCCGACGCACTGACCCGCCCCACTGCCCAGATCCACGCGATACTACTTGCCCAGACCAGCCCGCTACTGACAGGACTATTTACCCACGGATATCAAACGGACCCATTCTTCACAGGAGGAAATTCGCAGCAGTTCGCAGCAGCCAAGGGAGTCTATTACGTAAAAGTCGGGACCGAGCGCATCTGGGTACCAGGGTACACACTGCTATGAGAATTACTATTACACGAGGCACATGACGGGGTTACCTCGGGACATTTTGGGGTAGAGAAAACACGGCAGCAGTTGCAGCGGGATTATTACTGGCTCGAAATGTTGACCGACGTGCAGCGACACGTGGCATCGTGTCCCACTTGCCAGATCATGAAGTCAACACGGAAGCGGCCGGCGGGACATTTGCAGCTAATCCCACCTCCAGAGCGTGTTTGGCAGCAGGTGACGATGGACTTCGTCACGGGGTTACTGGCCGGGGCGAGTGGAAATGACGCGATCCTGGTCGTCGTCGATCGACTGACGAAAATGGCACACTTCGCAGCTGGAAAAAAATCAATCACAGCCGAAGAAACAGCCCGCCTCTTCATCTCTACCGTCGTTCGACTGCACGGGATACCAGCATCAATCATCAGCGACAGAGACATGAAATTCACTAGCAACTTCTGGCGAAACCTATGGCAGCAGTTCGGCACGCGACTACAGTTTAGTTTATCGTACCACTCCGAAACAGACGGACAGACAGAACGGACAAATCAGACCATGGAACAGCTCATCCGGGCCACGTGCGACAACCCAAACACGTGGGAACAGCAACTGCCACTCATCGAACTCGCATACAACAACGCCCCATCCGCCACGACCCAACAGTCACCATTTTACCTGAATTACGGACAAGACCCAACAGTACCCATGACCCCGAATCCCGACAACTCGGTTCCACGCGCGCAACAGTTCGCCAAAATTTTGCAAGCAGCACGGACCAGGGCAGCAGACGTAATTAAAAAAGCTAACATCATCGCTAAACGCAACGCCGACCGCCACCGCAGACCTGTTACTTACCAGCCCGACGACTTAGTTTTTTTCGACACCCAAAATCTCCTACTGCCCATCACCCCGAAACTCCGCCCCCGATACTGCGGGCCATTTCGCATAAGCCACATGATAACGCCCGTCACCGCCCACCTCCTCCTCCCTGCTGACTGGTACGTCAACCCCTCGTTCCACGTCAGCCTGCTTCGCCCCTACGTCCCGTCCACAAGCCAACTCCCACGCAATCGCCCAGCCAGCATGACACGACCGCCGACTGAACCAATCATCACCCCCGACAAAATCCTGAGCCACAGAGTTCGTGACCCTCGAGGAGCCCGAAGGATCGAGTTCCTACTCCGTTGGAAAGACCGTACACCCACCGAAGACAATTGGGTTCCCCTGGACAGAATCGAAAACCACCCCGTCCTCACCGAGTATCTGCGCAGCCGAAACTTCAGGGATGTACACGCACTTTCGTAAGGAGGACCTCCTTAGGTCGTCTCTCCAGCAAGTGTCAAGAAAGGCTTGGTGTCAAGCGTTGTTTACGGTTGACACCAAGTGGAGCCGCGTGTGAGCGCGGCTCCAGCCTGGTGTCAATGTTGGGCACATTGGACGATTTCCCGCGATCTCATTGGTTGGTTCAGCTGACACCAGGAGGGATAGTCCTCCATGTGTTTTCGAGTTGGTGTCATGACACTAGCCCCTCTTGACACTTGCTGGAGAGACGACCTTAGGAGGGGGGGGTAGTGTAAGGAAAATTCCTTTTCCTTACTTCGCATCCCTGCTCAACGCGTACATCACTGTAGCACCACAGTCAGCACCGTTACCACTCGCAATCCTCGCATCGACAATCCGCCCGCCACTTTCGCACGTCGCACCCCGACCTCACGGCTCGGCGGGTAACCCGCGCTCCGGGCCTCCGCTTCGACACTTTTCTCAACCTCAGTCCCAGGCCCGTCGTGCGACAACCACAGTCCATTACCGTTACCACTGTAGTTTCGCTTTATATTCTTCGCTCATGCCTTCGCTCATTGTACTCTTGCTTCGATAGTGCAATTCTAGTTAGTTCACTCAATTGCACTCGTAACACTTGGTATTATGCAATAAGACAGAAACATCACAGACAGATGCGATAAGAGAAGCGCGTTGATATGAGAGGTGTTTCGAAGTAGTCATTGTGCACGTGCGCCGCCCTGCGGTCCGTCCGAAAGTTTACTATGTATAGTCTGTGTTTTTAGTACTACGGCTAATGGCAAAGATGTCTGTGTTTTCCAAGCTGGACGCCGGCACTGGTGTTGAATGTTTCGACGAACTACCAGTCATGGGCTTGGAAAAAAAAACTTTCCAGGTTGTCGAGTCGAGACCGTGAGGTGTGGGCAGTCATTGTCTGTGCTACTGTGCATCTAACGACGGCAGTAAGACGGGGATCGTTATTGGTGACGAAATGGTTGGTCAGGAAGGCTCGCATAATTGAGGGGCTCAATTGCCCTTACTATTTATTCCCTTCCAATGTGTAAGCTGCGCATTCGTCCGAGCATTGACGGTAGCCCAATCTTATCTATAATTTGGACGTCCGGAATTCTTGACCGACGTGTCTTTCACTGAGCAAGGTCAAGATTCAGAAGTGAGCCGCTTCCCGTGCCGGCGGCTGAAATTATACATTTTCTAGGTGCCCGCCTGTTGGGCTAGGGTCTCGGGTCAGGGCACTGCTGTCGAAGGAATGGCTATGAAGATGCAAGAATGGACTTGTATTTGTATTAGTATCCGTCTTCATTACCTAGAGCCCTCAAGAAGCTTATCTCGGGCGTCTCTTTACCTTCATCCCTGGTGAGCATCATCTATATCACAATCATGCCAAGTGGATTCGTAAAGCCAGTCTGCTCTAAGTTTATGCGCGTAGCTTTTTTGTTTTTCAGTTGCTGAAAACTGTGTTGGTTTACCGCAGTGAGACGCGGCGTTCAACATGGCGGACGATTTGGGAGATGCCAAGGCTATTGTGCTCGACAACGGATCCGGCGTGATGAAGGTGAGTCGAATTGCCACATTGTCGTCTTAACATTCGCATTGCCCTGATCTGCTTTTCAGGCCAGCTTTTCCGGAGGAGAAGGGGCGCCGCGTGTTACGTTTCCCACGATTGTTGGTCGTCCTAAGCAGTCGGGATCGTCAGGAAGGGAGGAGGTTCAAGTCGGCGATGACGCGCAGTACCATGCTGGAATTCTGATTCTCAACCATCCTATTGAGCACGGTGAGTTTAACGAAGCTGCTGATGGACTTCATTTGCACGATTGTAATCTCTCTGCTCGCATCATGACCTCCATGGCTTAACTTTACAGGTATTGTGACAGCATGGGACGACATGGAAAAGATTTGGGAGCATACTATCAGCAAGTCGCTTTGTTTCTCGTTTCCAGAAGAGCATCCGGTACTCTTGACTGAAGCTGCTTCAAATTCCGAGGGAAATCGCGAAAAGCTGGCGGAGGTCATGTTTGAGACTTTCAATTTCCCCGCGATGTATGTCGCCATTCAGTCTGTGCTTGCTCTGTACGCCAGCGGTCGTACCATGGGTAAGTTGGATTACATTCTATTTTCTGCACAGCTGCTTTCGCACTGTGTCTCTTATGCTACTCTCTTCTTTTCATTTACAGGTCTTGTACTGGACTCGGGTTTCGGCGTGTCCTCCGCCGTCCCCGTATATGAAGGGCTGGCTCTGCCCAACGGAATCCATAATCTGAATCTTGGTGGTCAGGAATTGACTGGCTACCTGCATAAGCTTCTAGATGAGAGGGGCATTTCCATACACAACCCTTCTAACAGGGACATGGTGGTCGATCTGAAGGAGAAGCTCTCATACGTTGCCATTGATTTCGAGCAGGAGATGGCGAATATGGAGAGCTCACCATCCTCGTACGAGCTTCCGGATGGCCAGGAGGTTACTCTAACTTCTGAGCGGTTTAGGTGCCCGGAAGCTCTGTTCAAACCCTCGCTGGCTGGGGTGGAAGGCTCGGGTATTCACGAAATGTGCTACAACTCCATTATGGTGTGTGATTTCGATATCAGGAGCCAGTTGTATGGCAACATCGTCATTGCGGGTGGTAACGCTGGAATCGCTGGAATTGCTGAGCGCTTGACAAAGGAGGTCACTGAGCTTGCTGGCACAGAAGTTAATGCTTCTAAGCCCACCTCACACCAGGGGGATTTCAGTGCTTGGATTGGTGGAGACATGCTTGCGTCCCACAGCTCCTTTAAACAGGTACCATATGCACCTGTGCCCTTTTCCCTTTCTCTTGTCATGCTCTTGGCAGGTGATATGACGCTTGTTTTTGCTCTTCCGTGCAGATGTGGATTTCCAAGAGCGAGTTTCAGGAGTCAGGCGCAAGTGTTGCGCAGAGGAGGGCCCCCCTTCCTGCTGTCTGATCCACCGTGGTTGTGCTGCTTGCATTGCCGCATATTCAAATTCCAGTTGCAAATGTGGAAAAGCTGTCCAACTATTGTATGTTTCTTTTCTGGAATGCCATAACCATAGATGTTTTGAATTCCGCTGTGCCCCATTTTGCTATGTGTAATCAGCACTGGATTACTAGTCAGGGGTCACAAATTATTTTTTTCGTTTCTGATTTGTGAAAGGTTGAGTACGATGGTGTGCACTTTAGAGCGTTGTTAGCTTCACCTCCCCCCTGTTATGAGTTGTAAAAGAGAGTGCGCAGGTAAACGAATAACGAGACTGTGACTGAATTAACTGCGAATACAATGAGTGCACAGACTAATGTAGGGTTAGTCTAGCTAGGAGGAAACCTCGGACGAGCGAGGCTGGGTGCAGGTTTGGCGATGGGAATGCCGAAGGCGACGCGAGGAGCCTCGGCAGCGTTGAAATCGGCCGAACGTGCGAACTCCGAAAATCGGGTTGTACGCGAAGCAGTCAACCCCGATAAGGAATTCGGGAAAATTCCTTATACCCCCCCCCACTCACTCGCGAGCACCGATGTCTCGCCTACCTACCAACGGGAGGTAGCTGACGCAACAGCGGCTGACAACCGACATGCGAACATTCGCAAGACTGGTATCCCAATAAAAGTCCCGGCGACGGGCAGGTACGCACCGCATGAGTGTGAAGTGTTCCACGCCCTATCCAATGCAATGCATCCATTCGACTGATTTACTGAAGCTGCTGGGCTCTAGCTCCATAACCACTAGCTCGTGCTTGTCATGGTCGACCATGTAGTTACATCTAACAATGCCTTCGAGCCTCCAGGACTTTATATTTGCTCCAGAAGTCGTACAAGCCATGACTTCTCTAAATCAGGCGAGCCCGGCCAATAGTAGGCACGCCGTTTCTCTTCGAGTAGTTTTTCTGAGCAATTGAGCCGGATAGCGTCGTCTAATGCCCATGCGTTCGCTGTCCCACGGAAACGCGGCGCGCTGGAGGGCTCTTCACTGCTCCTGCTCTGATCGCAGCCGCTCATCTTGAGCTCTTCACTGCTCCTGCTTCCCAAACTCTCCATCCAAAATCCTCTCGTACCGCCTTACTTCACCCCCACACTCTCCGCGCGGGTCCCTGATTCTCCGCACCACTCACATCCATAATAATGGCGTCAGCGCGAGCCTCCTCCCCTCGTTCCTCCGCCAACATCCCCCCCGGCCCTTCCCCGGGCTGCCGCGGGCCCGCCTCCTGGATCTCCGCCAACCCCTCGCGCTCCCGCCGCGTGCATACAGGATCAACTTTCGGCAACAGCAGCAGCAGCACTGGCAGCATTGATTCCGCGTTTGGCGGTTCCCCCACCAGAAGCGGCAGCGGGTTCCCGCAGCCGCGCTCCCCCTCCGCAGTCGGACTCGCGCGGAGCGTCACTTCCCCCAGCAGCGGCCGCGCGTTCTTTGCGCTTATCTTCGTCGCGGTTGCGCTTGTTATGGTGTATATGGCGGCTCTCCCCACCGTAAATAGCGGCGGCTGGGCCGCCGATGGCGCCGCAAGGGCCGCCGTGAGACCCGGCGGGGTTGACGGGGACGCGCTTGGGGAGATGGTACGGCGGGAGGATCTAGAATGGGGGGCCGCGGAAGGAGCGGAGGTTGGCGGGGGAGTAGGCGCAGCAAGCGGCGTAGAACCAGCCGCGGAAGGGCGCGGGGGAAGCAGCAGCAGGTGGGGGGTTTTCTCCTGGGGCGGAGGCGGGCAAAGCGCAGGCGCGGGGGCAGGGTCCGGGACGGGGGGCGAAGCCAGGAGCGCGGAGGCGGAATGGGCGGCGCAGCAGGCGGCGTTCAAGCAATCCGCGGAGAGGCTCGCCGCGGACAGCGCGTGGGACGGCGGCGAATGGTCGAGCTCCGCGTCCGCGCGCGCCTCGCAGTTCCGCTCCGCCGCCGCCGCGGGCGCCGCGCTAGACGCGTCCCTCCAACGCCCGCTCTCCCTCACCTTCTTCTCCGCCCCAAAACCCCAACCCGAAGAGCTCACCCCAGGCAGCCTACAGCAGCAAGCGATTCTCTCCTGGCTCAGGCTAGAATCCCCCACAGTGGCAGTCAGCGTGGTACTATTTGGTGACCCGTCTGACGCGGTTCTGACGTCGTTTGCGGCGCAGTTCCCCGAGGGGCGCGTGTGGGTGGAGCAGGTGGATGGGAACTTCATGGGCACGCCCATGTTCCAATCCATGGTGGCTCGAGGGTTAGTCGAGGGCCCCGGTTTGGGTCGACGGTTTGACGATGGGCGTGGGGCCGGAGCGAGGGGGGGAGGGCGTGCGGGAAGGGGGGAGAGCGGCATGGGCGCGGGAGGGGGAGGAGGGGATGGCGGGGTGATGAGTGTATCGGTTCTGATCAATGCGGATATTATTCTTCTTAAGGATTTTCCCCTGGCTCTGCGCAAGGCAGCAGCACGCTTCCCGTACTTCCTCCTCACTGCCATGCGCTGGGACGTCTCCTCCAACCCCTTCACCTTCCACAAGCCCTCCTCCGCTTCCTCCTCCTCCGTTTCCACGTCTAGGACGGAAGACGGGGCGGAGGAGGGGGAGCGCGGGGAGCGAGGGGCGGAGGACGAGGATGGGGGGGATGCGGGGTGGGTTCCGACGCTGACGCGGGCGGACGGGCGGAAGGTCAGTGATGCGGAGGTGGTGGCGTGGGCGAGGGAGGAGGGCGTGTTGCACACGTATGGCGGGCTGGACCTGTGGGCGTGGAACAACCCTCCCCTGCAGATCGGGCTCACCTCCAAGCCCATCCCGCCCTTCACCTTCGGCCGCGGCAGGTGAGGCAGGCAGGGAGGCAGGGAGGGAGGGAGGGAGGCAGGGAGGGAGGGAGGGGGTGAATCTCGTGAGAGGCAAGCTATTCACTGCTGCACTGCATACTCACCTGGGGACCCCGGGACAAAGACTGGGACTGGGGCGGGGACTGACTGGGACTGGGACTGGGACTGGGACTGGGACTGGGACTGAGGGCCCTGTCTCCACCCCCGTTCATTCCTCCTTCCCCCTGTCCACCGCTCTCTCCCCCTTGTGCACCATCCGCCCCCCCGCCACAGCAGGTACGACAACTGGCTGCTGAGCGAGGTATTGTACCGATGCTGTGTCCACCCCTGTCCATCCCTGTCCACCCCTGTCCATCCCTGTCCACCCCTGTCCATCCTTGTCCACCCCTGTCCATCCCTGTGCACCACCCTGTGAGTCCCAGGTACGACAACTGGCTGCTGAGCGAGGCAGTGTCATCAGGGGTGCGGCCGGTGATAGACGCCAGTGATGCACTCACATCCATCCACGTCAACCACTCCTACCACCACATGCAGCGCGGGGTGAGCTGGGTGCAATGGGGTGAGGAGGAGGGAGGGGGAGGAAGGGGGAGAAGGAGTGAGCTGGGTGGTAGGGGGTGTTAAGGCACGGAGAAAGGGCTGTGGGGTGGCGAGATGGACTGGTGAGCAATACGGAGTGAAGAGGGGAGTGGGAAATTGAATTGCAGACAACCACCCTTTTTGGATTCAAACCCTTTTTTTTACTCCATCGTTTCCCCCTACTCCCCTTCCTCCTCCCCTTCCTCCTTCCCCCCCATCCTTCCCCAGGACCAGAGCCTTGTTCCAGAGAAGGCGGGCAACTTCTGGTCACTGAACAAGCGCAGCAGCTGGGAGGTGTTCGCCAACATCCACCTGTCGCATGTGCACGGCTCGTGGTCCTCCCAGGAGGGCATGGCGTGGCACGCGCCCTGGAAGCTCATGCGCTGCGATGAGCCCGCCTCCGCTCACCTCTGCCTGCTCCGCCGGGTCAAGCCGGGGTCGTGCCGCTGCGAGAGCTCTCCGTTTGTGCACCGCACACAGAGCGAGCCGAAGCTGCAGGGGCGGAATATCATCTGTGGGGTGTATAACACGGAAGGGAAGCCGGATTTGCCGGTGATGATGCCGCTGAATACTGCTGCGCCGGTCGTGGGGCTGCCGCATTTGCTGGAGCAGCTGCTGCCGCAGGTGAGCGGAAGGCGGTGGTTCAGTTGAGGGTGGTGTGTGTGGTACTGATGGGATGCTGGGTCAGCTGTGTGCTGCCGGTTGTTGGGCTGCCACATCTGCTGTTGTGGAGCAGCACCTGCTACCACAGGTGAGCGGAAGGCGGTGGTTCAGTTGATGAGGGTGTGTGTGGTACTGATGGGATGCGGGGTCAGCTGTGTTCTGCGGGTTGTGGGGTGGGGCCTGCCGCATCTGCCGGAGCAGCTGCTGCCTGCCTGCCGCAGGTGAGTGAGTGGAAGGTCACGATGCTAGCAGCCAAGCCAGTTTTATTCTATCGTAGTAATCCCAGTTCTCCCCTCTCCACCCCTCTCCACCCCTCCATATCGCTCTTTTCTTTTCCCCATCAGGTAGCTTACTCAAGCGGCACGTTCACCATGCTGGCAGCCACCTTTGACTCCAAGGAGGTTGTCGCCGACTTTGTGGTTCTGAGGCACCGCAATGCATACGAATCACAATTCACTCCTCTCCACCCCTCCCCATCCCCCCTTCCCCCCATCAGGTAGCTGATTCAAGCGGCACGGTCACCATGCTGGCAGCCACTTTTGACTCCAAGGAGGTCGTTGCCGACTTCGTCTGCCGTGCCGCTCGCCTCTCCACGCGCAACATCGTTGTCGCTGCTCTCGACGCCGCGGCCTACCGCTACCTCTTCCTGCAGGGCATTGCCGTGTATTACCAGGGGACGAATTTAGATGGGTACTTTCTCCCTCCAGAGCAGACGGACAGTGGGAAGGGCACCGGTGGGGTAGGGAGTGGGGGAGGCATGTGGAAGGTGCTTCTGGGGAGGGTGGGCGCGGGGAAGGGGGCGGCAGGGGCGGCCGGGGCGGCGGGGGGAGGTGCGGGGGCGGCGCAGGGGGAGCGTGTGGTGGAGGGGACGAGGGAGTGCTTCCATGGATCGCCGTGCTTCTCACGGTTCCTGCTGGTGCGTGATTGTGCGAAAGCGGAAGTGGAAGCATGCGTCGTAGTTTCCGCTTTTGTTTGTTTTTTTTTTTTTTTTTTACTTAATGACGGTTCCAGGTGGTTCGAGTGTTTCAGTTCCCTTCACACCTCCCCCCCTCCCCCCCAATCACCCCCCTCCACCTTCCAACTTCCACCTTCTCTCCTTCTTTCTCTTCCCCCCACCCCACATTCACCCCTTGCCCAAAACTACCTAACAGGCGAAGGTGACAGCAATAGCATCAGCGCTGCACCTGGGATTCAACGTCCTGTGGCTCGACACTGTCTTTGTGGGCTGGCTCGCCAGCCCCTACCCCTACCTGCACGCCCTCCCTGCCAACCACAGCCTGCTCTTCAACCCCCCTCCCCCTCCACCGCCCTCGTTCCCCTCCTCCTCGTCATCCCTCCCCCGCCGCCACTTGCTCACCACCACCGCTGTCACTGCTGGCTCAGGCATGACCGGAGCAGCGGCTTCTGCCAGACCAGGCAAGGCTCGGGCAGCGCTAGGCTCGGCAGACTGGCACGGGCGACCCGGTGGGATCGTGTTTGCGCGCGCTCTCCCCCTCGTGCTAGAGCTGTTTGAAGACATGGTGGCTCTCCTCTCCCCCCCACCCTCCTCCTCTTCCTCTTCCTCCTCTGCACCACCCACCTCCCCTGCGTCTCACTCCTTTGCTGAGCTCCTCTGTGGGCCTGCTGCTGACTCGTGGACCCCCAACGATGCTGCTGCTGCTGCTGCTGCTGCTGGCGGTGGTCCTTCCTCCTCCCCGTCTTTTGTGTGCAAGCGAAACGCGGGAGCTCAGCCAATCTCCGTTGGTTTTTTCGACCCCTCGGGATTCCTGCAGCCGTCCCCTGCCTGCTCCCCTCCTCCTGCTGCTGCTGCTGCTGCTACCACTGATGGTGACACCGAATCCCCTGGAGCAACAGCAGCAGCAGCAGTTGGTGGGATGCCCGATAACATTCCCCAAGGCACATGGATAGTCCCTCTAGTGTGTCCCGAGCAGCAGCCGACGCCGCAGCAGCAGCAGCAGCAAAAATTAGGGGAGGGAGGAAGCGGTGCTGTGACGATGGCGGCGATTAAAGCGCGCATAGACGCCCTTCGACTGACCTCCTACGACCCGCGGTCACGAGTGTGTGCGCGGGCCTGGACGGGGCCCTTCTTGCAAGCCATGGCTACGGGGAAGAACCTAGGGAAGAAGAAAAAGGCCAAGATGAGGAGTTGAGAAGGAGAGGCCGGGATTGAGCAAAGAAGTGGATGAGGAGATTGGAGGAGGCTTGTGTTGGGCTTGCCAAGACCTCAACCTGGGATGGGAATATGGGATGCAGTTGAATTGATGATGCATGAGGATGTGCTGTGCGAGGTGGACGTATCTCGTAGAACTGGTGCGCGATTTGTGTATGGAAATTACTGCGTGAGCTCACGTTATATGGTAAGTACAGGTGATATAAGCTGACAACTATCAATTCGAGTTATTCATTCTTTCATTAATTTCATTTTTGAACGAGTGATCTTGCTGGAGACGCTTACAAGAGCTACAACGAGTTGATTCACGCTACAACGAATTGCTCAGCTCAGCGGTGCTGAGTTGCGCGTGCGCATCTTCCCCACTGCAGTACCCTTCAAATTCCCCCACCCCTTCCCTTTTCCCCAATCCAGTAACATGCTGCTGCGCGCAGTTCTTTCCGCCACCGCCATCCTCCCCGCGTGTACCCGCTCCCGCAGCGCCATCGCAGCCTCGTCGATCCAGTCCCCGTCCTTCCCCGTCGTTTCCGCTCCCGCGCTCGGACCTCGTTCCACTGTCCCGTCGTGGATTTTTTTTGCTCTTTCGACCGAAGCTTGTTCCGCTATCCCGACGTGGACCGCGACAGCGGGGACTCGAGCCATGGCGAGCAAAGCCAAGAAGAAGAAGCAACCAGCAGGGGGCGACGGCGGGGGAGGGAGTGGCGGAGGGAAGTCGGCGACGGAGGGGACTGGCGGAGTTGAAGCGGCGCTTCCGGGGTTTCTGCGCGTGACGGCGAGCGGTGCTGTGTCCGTTGCGATTCACGCCAAGCCAGGGTCGAAACAGGCTGCTGTGATGAGTGAGAGGCGGGAGTGAGGGCGGGGAGTGGCGGAGTGATGTGAGGGGGGTGAGAGCGGGGAGCAAACGGGGAACCGGACAGGGCAAGGGAGAGGAGGTGATAGGAGGAGGTGGGGAGTGGTGAAGCACGGGGGGTGGGTTTGACAAGTTCAATTGTCCACCTGCTGCTGTGCATGATTCTGTGTGCACTGCACTGTGCATTACTGTGTGTGTGCATCGCAATCTGTGTGCATGCGTGTGTACGGGCGTGTGCATGTGCGTGCATGTGTGTGTGCATGTGCGCCTGCACGTGCGTGTGCATGTGTGACTGCATCCATGTGTGTGCAGGTCTAACCGGAGACGCAGTGGGGGTGGCGATTGATGCTCCTGCACGGGAGGGCGAGGCAAATGCGGCTCTACTAGAGTTCATGGCTGATGTGAGCGCATGGGGGCATGTGGGATCGCATGGGTGCATATGGGGTCGCATGGGGGCATATGGGATCGCATGGGGGCATATGGGATCGCATGGGGGCATATGGGGTCGCATGGGGGCATATGGGATTGCATGGGGGCATATGGGATCGCATGGGGGCATATGGGATCGCATGGGGGCATATGGGGTCGCATGGGGGCATATGGGATCGCATGGGATCGCATGGGGGCATATGGGGTTGCGTGGTGACACGTGGGATCACATAGGGGGGCATATGGGGTCGCATGGGGGCATATGGGGCTGCATGGGGGCATATGGGGCTGCATGGGGGCATATGGGGTGGCATGGGGCCACATGAGAGGAGGGAATGGTGATTGTAGTGCGGAAATCAAGGAATTCTGCCAGCAGCATGTTACGGGTTTTGTGATTCCATAATCTCCAACATTCTAGCAATTTCTCCTTTCCCCGTAGGTGCTGGGAGTACGCAAGAGGCAAGTAAGTCTGCAAATAGGTTCAAAGTCCCGAGGGAAGGTAGTGGTTGTGGAGGGTGTATCTTCTCAAGAGGTGCTATTTGCCCTGCAAAAAGCAGTGAAAACCAGTACGTGATATATTCTGTGCTGCATGGCAATCCGTTTTTATACAGAGAGGTGTACAGTAGTACCAGTATGAATCTATAATGTATTGGAAGTTCTGGTTGTGTTTTGGAGATCTTCCCACTGGCTGATCAACATTGATGCTGTGCATTTTAGGTGCTGAATACTACAATTGCAGACCTTGCCACAGTGTTCCAATCCAATGTTCATTGTCAAACTTGCTGGGCTGAGAATTTCAGCCTTAGGATCTTTGCAGAGAATAGGCTAGTAGGTGCTAGAGTAGCACAGCGGAAGACTTGAGTGAATGTACTTGTGCTGGTGTGTGAGAACAAGTAATTGATTAAAGCAAAGAGCATACAGGAATATATAGGAAAGATAGATTACAGGAAGCGGTTGTGTTTATCGAGACGCGTAACGCTTCGACTATCGAGGCGGTTACTGTTCACTGAAGCGTCGCTTGCTGTTACGTAACCTCCAGGCGGTTATAGCTCGCAATCTCCAGTTGCGGTTTGATGTGGTACGCGCCCTTTCGACTTCGCACCCTTTTTGTTGTGCTTCAGTATCGGGTGAGGTTCGATACTACAGAAACGCACTAAGTCATGCGTTTATATTCCCAACACTCCCCTTCGTTTCTGGAGTGTCGACGTGGTCAGCTTCGGTGACGTGGCCCAATCCGGTAAGCAGCATGCAGTACTCGAATTTCCCCTTTGGTAACTTCTTGGTGCGATAATCTGCTGCCATCTCGGTGGTCGGGCAGTAGTCCAGCCGGAGTTTTCCTTTCTCGATTTCGTCTTTCACGAAGAAGTATCGCAGTGCGATATGTTTGGTTCTGTTGGCGAAACCGTTCTTGTTCGCGATGCGTATCGCGGACTGGTTGTCGCAGAAAAGCGAGAAGTTGGGTACCTTCGCAATTTTCGCTTCTTCCAGCAGTTCGCGCAGGTACAGACCTTCCTTGGTGGCGGTGCAGAGAGCAATATACTCTGCTTCAGCAGATGATAGTGCGACGAGTTCCTGCTTACTCGATTGCCAGGAGATAGTTCCGATGGGCTCGAGACGGTAGACGTAGCCGGTGCGAGAGCGACGATCGGCACGATTAGCAGCGTGATCAGCGTCGACGTAACCGAGTAGTTTTAGATCGGTCGTCGTGCTCTTGTGATATGTTAGGCCAACTGTTGGCGTCGAGATGAAGTAGAGAAGGGCTCGGTTGAGCTCCTTGAGGTGACGTTGTTCTGGGCGTTTAAGGTAGGTCGCTAGCTGGCTGGCGCTGTAGGATAAGTCCGGTCGGCATGTGACGGCGGCGAAAAGTAGACAGCCCAGTTTCTGTTGATATTCCTGGGTTCCGGCAGACGACAGTAGTTTGGTTTCTTCGGTTGGGTCGGGCGATAGGTGACTGTAGGGTGTTGCGACGTGCGTCGGTGTGAAGGAGAAGCGTTCGACGATAGTGCTTGCGTATTTTGAGGCGCTGAGATGAATGGCGTTGTCTTCGTCGAGAATGTTGAGCCCTAGGTACTGCGTGACGTCGGGTGAGACTGTGAGGGAGAGATCCCTTTGGAGCTCCTTTTCGAACCAGGTGACGATGGCGGTAGTTGACCCGATGTAGAGTAAGTCATCGACGTAGACGATTAGCAAGACGTAGTCGTTGTCGTGGGTGAGGCGATACATGCCCTGGACATGGGGCAGTTGGTCGAATCCGATACGTTTAAGTCATGCGTGCAGGTACTGCTGCCAGAGTCGCGGTGCCTGTTTGATTCCATACAGCGATTTAAGTAGTTGACAGACGCGGGAAGGGTCGTCGACGAACCCGTGGGGCTGCTCAACGAAGATTTCGGCGTCGACTGGGGCGTACAGAAAAGCGTCGGCGACGTCGATTTGTCGGAGTGGGCGGCGACGTGAGGCGGCGACGGCGAGAAGAATGCGTAGGGAAGTGTGTCGACTGACTGGAGCGAAAGTCTCGGTGAAGTCGCGACCAAATTCTTGGTCGAATCCGCGGACGACCCATCGAGCCTTAAATCGTTCGATGGTTCCGTCGGAGTTGGTTTTGATCCGGAATACCCATTTCACAGAGAGAATGGGTCTGTCTTGTGCGAGTGATGCAGGGACGATCTTCCAGGCGTTGCGGTCTGATAGCGCTTTTAACTCCTTTTCCATGGCTTCGCGCCACTTTTCTCTGTGTTCCCCCCCCAGAGCCTGCTTGACAGAGCGAGGCTCTTCAGGTGGCGTCGAAGTCCCGTGCACAGCAGTGACGAGCCCCAGAACTTGGAGTCCGCTCGGGGTGTGACGGTTCATCAGGGGATCCTCGGGATAGACTGCTTCGTCTCCCGCTTCAGGATCAGGTGCAAATCCGGGGCCATAGCGTTCAGAAATGTCGGTGTTGACGGGTTGGGGTGTTACGTAACCAGTGTCGGCGAAATGGTAGTAGGCGTCGGCATTGACGCTGTCGCGAGGATTTTCGTCGTCCATGGGGATTGGGACGGAGCAGTAGGGAAGGGGTCCAGCAGCTTCGGAGGCGCCGTCGACGTTTTCTTCTTCCCAGTCAGCAACATCGGAGGGTGAAGCGAAGGCTCGGGAGCCAGAAAATCCGCCGGTGAGTTCGACATGGCGTGCGATGTTGTCCAGGTAATGGTTGAGGGTGAGTCGCTCGTAGAAGATAACATCACGTGCTGCTACTGTTTTCTTTGTGTGGACGTCGAAGATTCGCCAAGCTTCGTAATGTTTTGCCAGCCCGAGGTGTAGGCCCCACTGTGCACGTTGCGAAAATCTTCCTGCGCGTGCAGTGTGTGGGCGGTACTGTACAATACACCCAAAGACTCTTAACATTTTTGTGTTGCCCAGCTTCCCAGTCCACAACAGGTGCGGAGATGCGTTGTTGGGCAGTGAAGACGAGGACAGCAAGTTGTGCAGGAGGACAGCGTGGTCCATCGCTGCTGGCCATTCTGTGTTGGGCAGTCGTGTTCCACGTAGCAGCTTTCGCATGGTTGTCTGCAGGGTCCTGTTCATCCTTTCTGCCACACCCTGCTGTTGGTGAGCGTAAGGGAGAGAGATGAGGCGTTTGATGCCTCTTTCTGCCAAGAACTGCTTGAAGCGGTGTGACTGGTATTCCATCGCTCCATCTGACTGAAAACTCTTCAGTTTTACTCCCGATTCTCTTTCAGCGACAGGTAGCCAGGCTGTGAAGGCTTCTAGAGCCATGTCTCGTGACGGTAAGTTAACGTGCCAGACATAACGTGTTGTGGCGTCGATGAAGGTGATGACGTAGTTCAGATCTTCACGTCCTTCGGTTCGAGGTATGTATAAGATGTCGCTGTAGACTTTCTCGAGTGGTTGATAAACGGGGGCGCTCGGGTTGTGATGTGACGGGAACGGTTGGTGAGGCAAGTCCACTTCCGGACAGATGAAGCAAGTGCCGCGTGGTCGTTCGAGTTCGCGTCCGTTGGGAAGAAGTAGAGCGTTCTTGTCTAACACTCCGGCTCGTATTGTGTTATATAGTGTCTTGTTTCCAGGATGTCCAAGGCGTTGATGCCAAATGTCTTCGGAGGCGCTGTGACCGACGGAGCGTTGATAGAAGTCTGCGTTGGCGAAGAAGGCGGCGTGTGTTGCTGCACTTCGATGAACGGCGCGTGGTGCTGGCGTTAACTGTTGGGCGGCTGTCGGTGGCGTGTCGATGATGGGAGGTGGTGGTGGCACGACGGAGGGACCGGGCTGTGGAGTTTCGGAAGGTGGTTCCACGACGACGGTTGGTTCTTCGACTACAGGTTCGGTGGTTGTTGGTGCTGTTTTGGCTGTTGTTGTTGTTTCGATGACGGGTACTGACTCGGGTGTTGCTTGTGTTTGCAGGACGGCAAGCGCGTTGGTACGTTCAGCCTCGGGAATGGTACGGGAGTGTGAAGTAAGGAAAACAGGAATGGAATGACTAAGGAAAGATTGGGTACAAATACAACCCTAGAAACCTTGTACCCCATATGTGCTACCCCACTATAGCCTACAAACATGCATCAGCTATAATACTCTGACACACCCCCATAGGCAAAGTGGGGGAGAACAAGGGGTCACAAGACCAGTCAAGCAAAGCAAAGCAAGCTCAGGGTGGATCACAAAGTCACCACACAGTCCGAGCACAAGAGCAGGGCCAGAGGCCAGTTCACATGCAGGAGTACAGACATATATATAAAACTAGACAAGCAAGAGCAGGTATATATATATGTCACAGTACAAGTGAAGTCAAGAGGAGAGCAAGTGAGGCAAGACAGGTACAAGACCCAGCTGGGTGCAAAAGCGCTGATGGTCACAAGGCGCGAGTGCCTTGGTGAACACATCAGCAGTGTTGGCCTCAGAGGCCATGTACGCAAGTCGCAACTGACCACGCTGCTGCAACTCACGAGCAAGGAAGTAGCGGAGAGCAATGTGCTTCGTTCTGTGCTCCAAGCGCTGCTCTCGACACTAGGCCAGCATGGCCTTGTTGTCTACGTACAGCACTGGAGGAGAACGAGGCGGCTCTCCAAGGTCAGTCAACAGGTAGGTGAGCCAGCGAAGCTCCTGTGCAGCCATGGCCCCGGCGTAGATCTCAGCCTCACAACTGGAGCCGAGAACCGAAGACGAGCGAGTAGACCGCCACGAGACAGAGCCGGAACCAAGGCTGAAGGTGTAACCCTGTGACGACCGCTGCGTAGCCTGGTCGTCAGCCCAAGAAGCGTCCGCGTGGCCGGTAAGGACCACTGGACTCCGCCCTCCAAGCACTAGCCCCATGCCCGACGTACTGCACAGGTAGCGCAATACCCTCTTCGCTGCAGCCATGTGCTCCGGTCTGTGTCTCCTAGGAGCAACATAGCGTGCAAGAATGCTCAGAGGGTATGCAAGGTCAGGTCGTGTGCAGGTCATCAGGTACATGACGCAGCCAACAAGCTCTGCATACGGACCACTCGACTCTACGGACTCATCCGAAGGCAGAGCTGAGAGTGAGTGGCGAGTAGGCAGAGGAGTGGCCTGAGGCGAGGAGTACGTGAAGCCGAAGCGCTG